GCTCAAAGATTTAGAAGTTGAGCATCATTTGTATGTTCTATTCCAGGATAAAAATCTAAAAGTTGTTTTAAAGGGTTTATTGCATACGACTGAAATAGAGGAAATAAGGGAAGACCTAGAAAACTTAAACTATAACCATCATCGACATAAAGCAAATGACCAGATGCAGTAATGGAGAAGTAACGAAACTTCCTCTCTTTCTTATTACACTTCCTAAAATGGAAGCTTCAAAGAATACATACAATATCAAATACTAATGCAATTTCAAGATGAGTGCTGTTGAATATAAGGGTCGCCAAGGCCCTTTACAATGCTTTAGATGTCAGGGCTTCAAACACACCCAGGCTGGTTGTAATTACCCTACTAAATGTGTGTGTTGTGCCCAGAATCACAACTCTAACAAATGTCCAGACAAAAATAATAAGGAAAAGCCACTTTGCTGATTTAATTTCAGTGAATAACACACTGCAAGTTTTAAAGGTTGTAGCAAATTTCCCAAGAAAAAAAAGAGGACAAGCCGAAACATTTTGATAGCAGAGTTATAGAAGCAAATCGTTTGCACATCCTTATCTTCAGGTATTTATTTACATGGAAACTATCAGTGAGGCCAAAAAGATATTTGCTGACAGCCAAATTGGTTTCAGTTATAAAAAGCACAGGCTTTGTACAAATCAACCAACAAATGAGAGAATTAATCAGTAACAATCAGGAAAAAACCTTCTACTAATACTGCCGATAATAGGTCACAACTCCGAGAGCACCCATGCAAGTGATGATCTGGAATGCTAGAAGCATTCAACACAAAATTCAGGAGCTTCAAAATTTTCGGCTACTCTTTGGAATATTGTAACAGTTAGTTTGGCGACATTTTGGTAAGGCGATAAAGGTTACTAGCTAGGACTTTAGCAGTGTACATGGATAAAGTCAAGAGTGTGCGCAATGCCATTTTTTGTGCAATTCTGGGATGTTTTTTTAAGTGAAAATAGGTCGATGTGTACATGGATACCGTGTATGTGCAATTCTTAAAAATGCGGCAAGCAGTGGGCGATTCTGCACTTTCTCCCAATTTTGCACCTAATCTTCGTTGTGATTAAGCATTTTTGTTCCATAAAAGTTCTAGCATAAGCATAATTCGGCTAGCAGATTGTTGGAAAAAAATGTTGAGTAAAAAAAAAAAAAAAAAAGAGGCCTTTATTTTGTAAAAACAAAATGGCGTCAAAAAAAAAAAAAAAAAAAAAAAAAAAAACTAGCAGGTTGCTGTAGCAGGGTAGGTCGCCAAATTTTTCGCCAAGTTACCATAATCCGAAGATTAACCAAATTTTCTCATTACGAATCAGATTGATATTGCGCTTGTATCAGACTCATGCTAATCCTGGCATTAGTATGAAAATTGCTAATTATCGCTGCTATCAATGCAATAGGTTAAGTTACAAAGGGGAGGGACTGCAGTTTTTGGTCCAATATACGCTGCAATCCTGCTACATTAATGAAGACTGAAGGAATGGTTATGAAATTATTACAGTTCCAGTTATTCTACCTATGTATGGAATTGTCCATTTCAATTCTATGTACACCTCCCCCTCCTCCACAGAATATTTTAGATGAGAATGTATTAGCTGATTTGCTCCCCACAGATAAACCAAATTATACTGACCAGTGACTTAAATGTCAAGAACAATGCATGGAGTTGTAGAAAGACCAAAAAGAATGATGAAATTCTTTTAAATTTTATTAACAATCACCCAGTTTATTTTTATGCACCTGCAGATTTAATTTATTTACCAAATCACGTCAGTAGAGGATGCATTTTAATTTCTATTGTTTCTATACCAATTTATTTAGACGTTAAAATGGATCTCTTATCAGATAACGTGCCAGTCGCTACGCTAGGTACGCAAAATGTGATGATACTAAATTTAAAAAGGTCACTAACTGGAATCTATTTAATGATTTCCTCACAGATAATCTGCCTACGTTTAAGGGTCTCAAAACTAATGCTTACAAATGCACTCACTAACAGAATCAAATGCCACTAAGAAAATTCAAACTGAGAATAACCCCGACATTCTCCCCTAGTTTATCAGGGAGTAAATAATAGACAGAAGCTGGCTTAGGAAATTCTGGAATCTCACCTGGCATTCAAAGATTAAAACAGAAGTGAATAAACACAATAGGAGTATCAGACAGAATATTAACAGCATAGGTCTGAAAGATGGAATGATAAAATTCTCAGTTTTAATGAGCCAAATAATAAGTTCGGGACTTTTGCTAGAAATTTAAAAAGAAAAGTGCAATGCAATAAGCCAATCAGCAATGGTATTATCGTCACACTTATGAATAAAGATAAGGCTATGTTTTTAGCTGAACATTTTGAAAAACAATTTATGCCGACTGATAACTTGTGAGATTACACTTATGATGTCAGTATTGTGTACAGGACTATCTAAGTGGCTCTATTGCAAGATACAAAACTGATTTTTCACCCAGAGAAGTATGAGAGATAATTAAAAGGTTGAAAAACAGAAAGGCCCCTGGCTACGATGATATTACTAGCATCACTATCAAGAATTTACCCATCAATAGCTTTACTAAGTATACAAGTATCTTAAAGGCCTGTTTACAGAATTATTATTTTCCCAAAAAATGGAAAACAGCAAAAATTATTGTTATCCCAAAGCCAGGCAAAGACATCACTACACCTGAATGATATTAGCCAATCAGTTTACTCCCCTGACTAGGGAAAATTTACGAGAGAATAGTACTCAAAAGAATGGAACCATATCTTGAAAGATTACTGCCAGAGCAGTTTGGTTTCAGGAAGGGTTTCTCGACTATAAAGCAATTAGTTTGACTGACAAAATTTATTGGATCTGCAATTCACAATAATGAGAAAGTTGCCTTACTCATGCTAGACATGACGAAGGCATTCGACCATGTCTGGCATGAAGGGCTTATTTTCAAACTCACTTACAAAAATTTCAGCAGAGAAATGACCCTCCTGATTTATTCATTTATTAAAAATTGAAAAGTTTTCATGATTATTGGTCAAGATACCTTAGATCAAAAAAGGTAAAAGGTTGAATGCGGAAATAGCCCCATGGTTTGATCCTTGGGCCTATACTCTGTATCTTTTATGTCGCAGTTTTTCCAAAGCCTCTGACAAGTATCAATATTTATATTGGTTGTTACGCCGACGATGCGCTATTGCCGTGAGGTCACTGAGCCCAGTTAACAGATTACAAGAAATGATTCCGCATACTGAGCACTGGTGTACGAAGTGGAGGATTGCCATTAATGCTTCAAAGTCGAATCTTCTTATCATCAGTAAAAGAACTCCCAAAACACCAACCGATGTCCAGCTCATTCTTTTTAACACTGAGGTCCCAATTGTGAAGAAAGCAAATTATCTTGACGTTATATTAAGCCATAAATTCACTAGGATGGAGCACATTAAAAATGTTGGGAGAAAAATCTCTTGCAGTTATAAAGTCTCATGCCTCTGTTAGGAAAATTCTTCAAATTTGGTTTACTGTGCAAGAGACATCTTTATATAGCAATAGCCTGTCCAATATTTATTTATGTCTTCCCTGCTTGGGCAGCTATTTCTAATAAGGATTTGAATAAACTTTAAATAATACAAAATAAGTTTTTTTTAGACTTGAATGCCCACTTTTATGTTTCAAATGACACGCTTCACCGTGACCTTAAAATCGAAAGAGTCTTCAAGACCTTCTTTGTCGCTCGGACAGTATAGTGGTTACGGAAGCCTACTACGGTACCGAAAAGCCTGTGTTCGAATCCTGGAGAAGACATGGAGGTTTGCAAATGTATAGAGTCAGTGTGGCATGGCTGCACTCTAGATATGCAGCAAGCCGAAAGTTCTCTCGTGTGCATTGGTGGGAGACCCTCAGATCACTCCCAGGGTGCTCTCCTCAAAATTGGGGGTGGAAAATAGAATACCAGTCTCTCTTTGCAGTAGGCTCTGGCAACCACTGTTCCATGTAATGTGAACACAACAACAACAACAAGACCTTCTTTTATAAAGTTAATGAAAACTTCTTTAATAAGGCATTAAACTGGCCACATATGGAAAATTTCTTGGAGGTCTTCAATTACATTATTCTGACTGAAGAGCGATATATTAGACAATTTGCAGCCCACATTTGTGACTCCAACTTCCCTATGTAGTCGATGCAGCTTGTATATAATGTATATATGATTTTCATTGAATTTTCCTTTGTATTTATGTATTAAACTGTACTGTGCATTTTCGTATTTTATTTGATTACTTTTTCACCTCATAAAGAGTCATGATGTGCTTCACACCAACACTTGCCTCTCCTGGTCCGCAGCTCTCGTTTGGATTTGGTTTTTATGACAATTGGTCACCCCCCCTTCATTTACCATCTTAGACCTCTCCTTCATAGGTTTGGAGACTTCCATGTCAAGCCTCCTTCGGGCATATGCATCAAGAGCTGGAAACATCACGAAATTTTAACGATATTTCGGCAATATCAATATGGATTGCAATGGATTCTTAAATTAAAAAAAAAATCAAGAACAAATAAAAACTTTTATACTCTTTAAGGAAAATAGGCAGGCACAGAAAACAAAAGCGATAAACTTTGCTATTATATTTTAAAAGATATGTAGTATCTGGCAGTAAATAAAATTTAGAAGTACATAATAGGAACTATACTTTTTGACAGAAAAGTATACTTTAATTATTTATAAGTAAAGGAAACAGAGATATAAGAGAGATAGGAAAATTTGGAAGAATACTTATTTATACTGCTTATAATCTAGTTTAAGGCACCATTCATAAAGTTATCATCCACTAAGAATTAAACAAACGATAATATACACTAGTCTCCTACCTTAAGAGAAAAGCAACATCTAGAAATGCTACATTTGCTCCTATTTTAAAACTTCTAAGTTTTCAAGAATAGCACACGCATATCTTAAAAACAGATTAATGTATTAAATAAAGAATATACATACTTCAAAATTTATGTAATCCAAGACTTCAGTTTAGCCTTTTCAGCTTTATATTTCAAAGTGCGTGTATAATCCTTATAAATCAAGAAAGAGGTGAGTGTTGGAAAGATTATAACCCACTTGTAGCGTTTTAAGAGGCTCCAGTACCCTATGAATCCCTTTTCAGAAGTAGATACGTCCATCAAATTGTGAACCTGTAAGTCAAATATATGTATGTCATTTTTAATATTAAAATATGAGATTTTTATATACTAACAAGAAATTAAAAAAAAAAAAAATAAAATATGAAACTTCAATTGCAGGAATGAAAAACCTGATACAGCAGATTGTAAGTAATTTTTTAATAATTTTTTTTAACATCTGCATTTACAGCATGTTACATCATAGAATTATAATAAATTAAAAACATATTTTAGAATTAATATTAAAGCTACAACAATACTGATGCTTTTCAAATATACCAAATTTTCACAGCAGTCCGCAGCCAATGTAAAATTTAGTTACTCATTTATACATAAGTGATCAAATATTAACAGTATCATGCTGATTTTAGCAAGTGTTCAGAGCATTATAGGCATTATCAAATAAATGAAAACTGTCTGTGATGATTTTTGATTTCTTTATGATGTCTTTATAATACATCACACCCTCAAAAATATAAACACAAAAATCAATTTTTTCTAATAACACTGGTAAATAATATAACCATAGCTTAGCTTTATGATAGTTTCCAATAAATTATAGCTTCCGACTCTGAATCTCCTTTTAACTGCTTCTCGTTAATCCACACCAACAACAGCTTCTCAACATATTCTAAGAGTTTTGGACGGTGCTTGGAAGTAACAGTAACTCCTTTAGCTACATAAAGCTTCTTAATTTCTTACTTCTTCTTCAGAATATTGCAGATCGTCAATATCGAAGGGCCGTAAGAATTCGCCAATTCCGTCACTCTTACACTACGCTTATGTTTGTTCATCTTGATTTCTTCTTAATTTCAATAGCCATGGTTTCCTTCTTTTTTCTTGCAGCACTATCTGAGGCAACAACCTACTTGGGAGGCATCGTGAAATAATTATTTTCACATTAAATGTAAAAAACCAATTAACTCACAAGTGCACAAACACGTAGATCAGAGAACACTGAGTGATCTGACGAGGAAATTCCAGCCAGTCGAGCCAAATCGGGAAATAGTGCTACACATACCAACAGCATGGCTCTTTGCTCATTACTCAAGTCTATACTCATATTTACAGACGAATTTTTCGCTCATACTTTCTTCGTATTTAGAATTTCTCGTATATAGAGGTGCTTGTATCTCAAGGTTCTACTGTATATGCAAAATTTTCTGAACACTTAAATAATTTATAAATTATTCTCTGTACATGATGAAAATTTACTTGCATTTTATAGTCCTTATAATTTTATACAATTAACAGAAGCAGCGTGGTCAGCATTCCCTTTCACCTCCCTTCGTCGGACTCATACCAGTGGTACTTCTTTTTGTCACATAAATATAATAACAACGTTACATATAGATATATGTTTTTAATTTATTTATTTCATTCTCTTTTCTATATATACACGTAGGGTTTTATTTCAGCCGGCAAGCAAAATGAAATGCGTTCTATTACTTTAATTTATTGTTCAATAATTTGTTATTAATTTATTTTTTAATTTATCTTTTTACATGGATCTGCTTCATGTAACTGAAATAAAAAATGGGATAAATATTAACTTCAATGTAGCATATACATCGGTGCAGGTTTTTATCAGCGTGGGCTTATATCAATTTGGCCTCCTAATATTCAGATATGGTAAGTGTGATGGTAATGGTAACTGAGAAGGATTTATTTAGATCTGAAGTGAAGAAATAAATTTTTGTATAATCAGGGAAGTCATTTGAATAAAGTGTTGAAAAAAAAAGTTTAAAAAAGAAAAAAAAAATTACTTTTTTTTTAACCACAAAATAGTATTAATTTTAAATTTATTTGTTTTCTTTCAAATCTTTGAATGGGTTTTCAAAATTATTTATTCTTTTTTCTTTATATGTGTGTGAGATAAAAAAAATATATAAATTAAAATTATAACTGAAATCAACAGTAACCCCTTCATTCTCCCTCTCTGTTCTAACAAATCATAATAACTTCTCTGGATTGCATCATTTCTGTTACTTATGCTCACGTGTCTGATGTAGTCAGCCCAAGCCCACGAAATTCCTCCTAGCAAGAAGCTCTAGATTATGCTTGCCGTTGGCAACAGACTTGAGCACCAATCAGGTGACTGTGCGATTTAGCTCAATTCCGCCCCCAATTTTGATGGAGAGCACCCCGGGGAAGCGGATCCAAGGGTCTCCCACCTCTTTCCCCTTCCACCAAACCACATGAGAGGACGTTCAAGCTCGCCGCATATTTAGAATGCCACCATGCCGCACCGACACTATACATTTACAAACATCCATGCCTCCTCTGGGGTCCGAACCCGGGCCCTTCGGCATGGCAGTCAGCAACGCAAACCACTATACCGGTTGGAGGACGCATCATTTTTAGATCAGTCTATGTTGCTTGGCTTGCATAACGTGGATGACATAGCTAATTGGGAAACTAAACTTTGAGAACCTAAACCAAAAACAGCAAACAGTTCTCTTAAGCCCATATCACACGGCATTTGCTTCACACAAACAACTGTTTCAGACAATTTTTCTGCCTGGTTTACTATTGAAAGAAAGACATGCAACTTTTTCCTTCCTTTCGAAAAAAGTTGCAAGTTGTTCGTTTTCAACCAATCAGCTATCAGCGTCGAATACTGTTAGCTTGTTTGTAATGGAGAACCAGTTTCCCCTGTGTTAACCCCAAAGCGATAGTGGTGATTGGCTGTTGTGACAAAGCAGAAAAATTGTTCCAAACAGTTGTTCTTTCGAAACAAGGCGACGTGTGATAGCACCCTTAACAGCCTTCCATATTGGATAAGTGTGCCACTTTTAGCTTAAACTTCTGTGCTGTTTGGATGGTATATTCCTTGCTCTCTTTCTATTGCAGCAGGAATATTTTTGACAAACAGTTTTCAAGCCAAAGGCTGGGACACACATATGTCCCAGATGTAGTTAATGGTGGGATACATATGTCCCACAGATAGTGATCGACTTAGGTGTTCTTATGGTAGATAAGCACACCTATTATTCTGGAAAACTTTATAAAATAGATTTTATATCGTATGGTACATGGTAACGTATTCTTTGCATAACCCAACATTACACATTGGGCAACTCATATTTGTTCTTTTGTCAATGTTCATTTGTGTACAATGAGCATAGCCGCGTCTTGATTTTTTAACTATTGGAAGATGATCCGCAATATTCAGGATATTCTAAGTGCTTTAAAACCCAGCAGTAATTTTTTAACTCTTTTGTGGGACATATATGTCACATTAGTAGTCAAACACAAACGTGCAACTTGAAATATGACCAGACAGTTAAGCTAGTGTATATATATATATGAAAATCAATCAGGTTACAAAATGGGAGGGTCATTTCTGAATTATAATCAACACAATACCATTTATTCATGTCATTTAGAGGAGTCTATGGGCCAAATCCTTGGTTGCTTTGAGTTAAGAAAGTAAAATGGTGTAAAATATTTTACTCAAGCCATGTTAGTACAGTGCAAGAATATATGTCATTTCCAGTCCCATCTAGGCTTGTGCATAAATCTGATGACAAATGCTAAAGCACCTGTTTGATGCACAGTCTAAATAAATGAAGCAGCATCTTCTCAAAATTCTAAAATTGATGTTGTAAAAACAGCATCTCAAATTTATAAAAGAGATGATGAAAATAATTTTTTTTTTTTTTTTTTTTTTGTTGTTGTTGTTGTTGTTACAAGTGCATCATATTATAGTATAGGAAAACCTTATTCTATAAAATTTATAGAAATACTGTGTACCAAGTCTATCAGATAGTGACTTTTGTGGTAAATGATACATATGCAGAACAAATAGATAAGTACATTAATGTTTTAATTAATCAAATAGTATATAATATACCAGATGATTGGTCTAATATTCATAACAAACCATTTGTATGCGTTTGTACAATAGATTAGGAGCTCTGCATTTAGTAGAAATTACTGTTGAATCTTTAATTTCACATTGATGTGGAAATCTCCATATTCTTTTCGTCTTGATGCCATTAAAAAAGTTAGAAACCAATATAAGTGTGAAATTGATTGTTTTGTAATCAATAATGCAGCAAATTTAGAAGAAATGAGAAAAAGGAAAAATTCATTAAGTATCTTATGATTATTCAGCTCCTGTGCATTATTTATTAGGCATAGATTAAAATATGTCAAATATTATTCAGCATGTTATTGAAGTCTGAAATATTTTCGAAGTCATCAGCTTGTCCAACCCAGATTTAGTGAGCTGATTTAAATATGTGATCTAAAATATGTTCGAACTCGATAGAAAGATCTGACTAGTTTTCTTGCAAATTGTGGAAGCAAATTCAGGTGTGATGGCTCAACAATATTTAGTCACAAGTTCTTTGGAAAATCACTTTTTTTATTTGATGTCAATTTCAGTCACTTAGAGTAAAATCTAGAAGGATAATTGCAATAATGCTGAAGCTGTTAAAGCTTTGAAAGATCTTGAAAACAGTTTAAAGTATTTTGATAAAGCATGTTTAAATTGTTTAAAGCATGATATGACAGCATCGTTCTCAGCACATTTTTAGCTTGTTTTTTATCACCAGATTATGAAACAGTATTAGCATCTGAAAAAGGAACAGGCATAGGAATTAGTAAAAAAGAAAAGTATACAGAAAATGTTTTATTCAGCAGTATATTGAAATTTATACAGTCAAAAGTCGTTAATTTGGACACCCATAATCCGGACCTCAAAGCTGAAAACTTTCTGCGCATGCGCCGTGCTGACACATGCGTATAGGCGTTTTCGCGTGCGCATTTAATGTATAACGGACGGTATAAGCTAAAATTATCTAATTATCTATTTCAGTTAATGTTGATGATTGCGTTGTTCCTTAATCTTCGAATTGGATCCGGCTTATTATTTTTTGCAGACTGTAAGAGCAATTTTATAAAAGTAAACTTGAACTTTCGATTATGTCAAATAGAATTTCTGATGCTGGAGCTCCCAAAGGATCTACAAAACGAAAGTATGTTTCGATGTCCATCAAACAAAA